GGCTGGCTGGAGTGTTGTGGGGATCGAACTACAGCAACCTGAGGCTGACAGCTTTGTGGAAGCAGCCACTTAAAGAACTGAGCTAAGGCCAGGCCTCCAGAATCTGGATTCTTAAATTCACAAAAGCAAAGATGCTCATTCATACTGTCAGCCCCTGGGGGCACCCAGTGGCCTACCTATGCAAATACTTGGATCTGGTCACTAAGGACTCCCCTTCCCACCTTTGCTTTCAGGTTCTAAGAGCCACTGTCCTTCTGATCAAAAAAACTGACAAGTTAACCTTTCACTAAGACCTAACTATCCAGTGCTGTACTGATCTCCTGAATAACTGTAGACCATTATAGATGCTGAGTATACCCTGTTTCTGGATGGAAGTAGCTCTGTTAGGAATGAAGTCCAATAGGCTAGATATGCTGTGGCACCTTGGACAAAGTTAAATCTGGCCAGAGTTCTCCTGCTACTGCTTCTTGCTGCTATTTGGGAACCAGCCACTAATGATCCCAAACTTGTGCTCCTAAGACCCTTCCAGGGATCCAGTTGACTAAAATACCAACCTCAGTCAAAAAACTTTATCCAGTTCTCCCAGAAGATAACACCAGACCTGTCCCCAGCATTTGTTCTGCAAATTCAAACTCTATTACTGGCACACCTATCCCTGCAGCTAGCTCAGGCTTCAGCATCTGTGTCATTGACCCTGATCTCCACCCAACATGACTTAGTGCTCAGGCTGACCAATACAACAGAAGTTTGTAAGGTCCTGCTATGAGAAACCATCATCCCTAAATATGTCCTACCCTTGATCATTGGCAGCAATAATGGGCCTGCATTTAGAGCAGAGGTAACTCCAAACTGGCAGAACTATTAAAGATTAAATAAAAATTATACACAACATACAAGCCACAAAGTTTTAAAAGAGTTAAAGAAATAAAACATAACCCTAAAGAAATGATTTGTAACTAGTTCCACAAAAGTTCAGCTAAAAGACCAGCTATATCTGTACACACTCCTGCACAAACATATAACCCAGGTATATATTAACTACCTCTACAAGTTTCAGAAATCCAACTTTAGATCCACTATTGGAACTAAAGAGTTAGAAGAGCCTGTCCAGACAATTGCTAAAAATTTACCTGGAAAGTTCCCCTAGGGCTCACTCTGAAGAGACAATGCACTCAAGACCTACTCTGGGGGCCAGGGAGATGGCTCAGTAGAATAAGTGCTTGCCTCGCAAGCGCAAACGCCTGAGTTCAATCACCGGTTCCACAAAAAAAAAAAAAAAAAAAAAAAAAAAAAAAGACCTACTCTGGTCTCTCTGGACACCAGCCAGTCCACACATGCCTGAAGCCCTAGGACACTGTTCACAGGATTGCTCCATACCTATTCCGCTTGATTTTTGTGTCTTTTCAAGCTGCTTACCCAGGTCCTTCCTTCACTGCCCTACCTACTAGTTATGGTTTTTGCCTTAAAGTCTATAGAAAGTTGCCCATAGAGAATAGAACAATCAATCACACTTTACCAAGATTTGATGAGCATCCAAGGCACATTGCTCACTCTCCTAGGTCAGATTAACTTCCTCATTACCTTGCCAGAATGTTACAGAACAGATAGGTCTAAATTATGTTTCTTAAAATATATTCTATATCTTCATGTGACAATGTTTTTAATTTTTAGGATATATACTTTTTTTTAATTTTTTTTCCTAATTTTTATTTATTTATTTGTGTGTGTGTGTGTGTGTGTGTGTGTGTGTGTGTGTGTAGCCAGCTCAGCCCAACAGGGGGCAGGGCTGGCTGGCATGTGGTGCTGGGGGATTGAACCCCGGTCCCTGTGCTTTGCTAAGCTTGTTCTAAGTAGGTGCTTTAGACCACTGAGCCATCTCACCAGCCCAAGGATATATACTTTTTAATTGATGCATAATAATTATATATACTTGCAAGGTAAGGGGTAACATTTCAATACATGTATATGACATGTAATGATTGTATTAGAAAAAATTATTGTTGCTTTGTGTTGGGAGCATTCCAAATCCTCTCTACTAGTTATTTTGAAACATATAATTATTATTAACCATAGTTACCCTGCTAGGCCATAAAATACAAGTTACTCCTTCTACCCAACTATAACTCTGTATAGTTTTTAAAAAAATTATGTTTTTAAATTAAAAAGTAAAGATATATGTGTTAAAATAAAAATCAAGATACATAGTTCAAGGGCCAGGGGAGATGGCTCAGTAGAATAAGTGCTTCCCTGTTAAGCGCAAGGGCCTGAGTTCAATCCCCGGTTCCGCAAAAAAAAAAAAAGATACATAGTTCATGAAGATGTTGATGACTAATGTTTATTCTACTATATATTTAATCAACAACGATGAATTTCATGAATCAACTAGTATGTTATTTTCTTTAGTCCTATTTCTGTCTGATACTCCAAGTAAACCCAAAGGCCTAATATCACCTGTAAGTGGAGACTGTAAATATTATTTTTTAATGATGTTCCACATTCAGTGTGTAGTGAAGAATTCACATTCTTCAGTGTCTTTAATAAACAAGTACATGTTTAATACTAAATTTAATAGTAAATTTCCTAAAAACCTACCCTTTCCTGGTATCGTCTTTCAAAGAAAGCCATATCATCCTCTTCTGGCCTCCTTAAGGAAGAAACTTGGCTACTTGTACCTGCTAACATGGAAAAAATAAAAAACAACTAATTAATGTATTTATACCATTAAATAATTCCATGAATTTTTTAAAACAAAGAAAAGTTTATTCCTGCCAGATGATAATGTTTTATTTTTCACACCAAAAATTGCCTAAATAACCTTAATACCTAATTCTTACACAGAATGGCACAAGACAAAAAGCAATTTTTAGTGGCAAACATTCTCCAAATATTCAACTGGCTAATGTTAAATAATACAATACTATGTAGCTATTCCACATAAAAATACATTTGGATGTATCCAAGTACTTTTTACATGGTATATCTAGAAATTCATCTTATACTTTAAGAGATAATGTACAGTAGTATGTATTATGGGGACTTTGCTGAATGATATAAGCTAGTCGAAATTTTTTCAAAATTAAAATATTTCAACCATCTTTTATTGTATTCACTTTGTAAAATTACTTAAGTACCACTTTATGTGCTAAAAGAATTTCAAATTGCTTCAGTAGAAAAAATAATCTAGTTTTTTTTGCAGGTACTTTAAGAGTTTCAAAGGAAAGATTACTTTCAATATAGGTTTCATTTTCAAAATAGAACAGTAACCAGAATACCTGTTCTTCTAGTTTCTTTTTTTTTTTTTTTAATTTATTTATTTATCCATCTATCCATTTATGTGTGTGTGGCTAGCTCAGCCCACCAGGGGGCGCGGCTGGCTGGCATGTGGTGCTGGGGGATTGAACCGCGGTCCCTGTGCTTCAGGCAAGCTTGTTCCAAGTAGGTGCTTTAGACCACTGAGCCATCTCACCAGCCCTGTTCTTCTAGTTTCTAAAACATAATTTCACCTTCAACTAGGCACACAAAAGTATCTAACTCAAAACCGTCACCACAGAGCACAACCACACTGTCAATAATATTTAACAAAAGCTTTGTTGAAAAAAAAAAAAAAAAGCTAAAATAAAAAGATTAAACTCAATAAGGAATAGCTATACATCCAGAAACTTTCAAGTCTATCCCAGGAAGAGGCTGGACCATTTCACCTAAGCTTCTTACACATTCACCTTCAGAGATACACTTTAATGGAATATTATCACTCTTATTAGAGGTAACTGTAGAAAGCAAACAATCTTATTCTGTTTGCTGAAAAAGGGCCCTTTAGAACCTTAGCCACTACATATAGGTTTCTTTAAATTCATCATTGTGCCAGGCATGGCGGCACATACCTGTAATCCAAGCACTCTGGGAGGCTGAGGCAGGAGGATTACAAGTTTGAGCCCATGCTAGGCAGTTTAGCCTACATCAACAAAAAAAAGGGCTAGGATGTAGCTCAGTGCAAGGGCACTGGGTCCAATTCCTAGTTTAAGTAAATATATAAACAAATAACAGTATTGTAATGTTCATTCACATTGAGAAACTATTGCTTTTTCCTTTCTAATAAAGAAAAATATTTAACTGATGGCAATTGCCTTTGCATCTTAGCTGCCACTAAGCTCAGTCAAAATTGGTTTAATGCAACGATTATATCAATCTCAGGATAATTATGTTCTTTTTCTGGATTTTTATTTTTTACATCAATGTGTACTTAATCATTCTGTCATTAAATCCTGTTTTTGTAAGCAGCTTTAAGATGCTATATAGAGAATGTCAAAGTTCATCAAGATACAAAATTCTCATTTTAAAATATTAAATACCTAATAAACCATAACATTTCCATCTTCAAGGCCAGGAATGTAGTTTAGTGATAGAGAACTTGCCTAGCATGCATGAAGCCCTAAATTTCATCCCCAGCATAAAAAAAGTCCTTCAATTTCCATTCTCAATGCTTTTGTTCTTTTTTTAATAAAGGAAATATAAATTACTTGTGCTTAAAATTAATTCTTTTTTTTTTTTTTTTTTTTTTGGCAGTACCAGGGATTGAACTCAGGACCTTGCATTTGCCAGGTAAGTGCTTATTCTACTGAGCTATCTCCCCAGCCCCTTCCTTTTAACTTATAAACAATAAAAACCTTCCTAGGGGCCAGGGAGATAGCTCAGTGGAATAAGCACTTCCCTGGCAAACACAAGGGCCTGAGTTCAATCCCTGGTTCTGGGAAAAAAAAAAAAAAACAACTTCCTAAACTGTGATCATCTCCATTATATCCGGATCCCTAGGGAAAACTCCAAGGACCACAGCAGTTAGTCCACTAGAGCGGTCTCTTATTCAAACACCAGAGCAACATGTACCAGAATAAGCTTTAAATCTTCAAAACAGTTTATCAGAATCCTTGTACCTTTCAGATTTAGCTATTTTTCCCAAAATAATATGAAGTTCCTTGCTTTTTCACAGTGCCTAACCAAGTAGGTAAGTCAAAGTCAAATTGTAATAATTATAGAAAAAAGAGAAAAGCCTAGAAAATAAATCAAAAAACCCTATTTTCTTCCTATATCTAAAAATATTTCTCGTTCTAATTTCAATACCACCTGTTGGTGTTTTTGGAGAAGCAGATGAAGCTTGAAATGCTGTTAGAAATGGGTGGTCCATGGATGTCACCGGAGAGTCTAAAAGTTCAGCTGAAGGTGTGCCTAAAATAATATGGAGAACAAAAATACATGAACAAAACATATGAAGAATGAAAACTTAAATCTTGATTTATAAGCATAGAAACAACCTTTTTTTCTAATGGGAAACAGCTTAGATTCTCAGCAGAATCTTTTGAAAAATACTTTCTATAAAAAAGAAATTTTTAACCAAGTGCAGTGATACAGGCCTATAACCCCAGCTGCGGGAGGAGGAATATAGAACCCAGTGAAGAAGAAATGGGCCAACAGAGCAAGACCTACACCACTCTTTCTACAAGGATCTACACATTCAATTTGGTTCCAATTAAAAACCAGAGGTAAAAAAGGAATTTTTACGTGAACTTCTATCTGCCACATAAAGGCAAATAGCTAAAACAGTATTTTTTCATTTCTCAGACCTTTTCTCAGAGAAAAAAAAACACATTAATATAGCTATGTCAGCAAAGGAATACTAAACCCTAATAGAGTAGCAAAACACAATCTAAAGCAAGACAATCACAATAAGGAATTTCTGGTTAACTAAGTTAAAATATAAAAGTACATCTTTAATCTATTCCTTACGTAGAAGATGCCTAAAAGCTAAGTATGAAAAGTAAAGGAGAAGGTGCCTCTTCAGTGGCAGAAAACAACCACCACCCTGAACCACAAAGAGCAACTGCAAAATTTATTGATCCTCATGGAACAAAAGGAAGGAAGATGCAGAGAAAATGTAAAACTTTTTTTCTTACAAAGCACCACATCCCCCATGCCACTGGTAGAGAGAAGGAAACTTTCAGTCCTAACTGGTTTAAAAGTTAATACAGGGACATGCCTGTAATCTCAGCACTCAAGAATCTGAGGCAGGAGGATGGCCATGAGTTTAAGGCCAACCTGAGCTAGGTAGTGAGTCCTATGCCAGCTTAAACTACATAGCAAGACTCTGTCTCAGAAAAACAAAAATTAACATAGCAAAAAGTTAATCTTGTAACGTGAAAAGTCTTTCTAATTCCTTCCCCATTCCTATCTCCAGCCACTCTCTCTTGAGGCAGTTAAGACTAGAAGGCGGGACTCAGGCCATTTCAGGTCCTTGTGCTGTCTTCTGGGTGCTGCATGTTTCACTGACCTCAAGTGCTCCAGGCTGCTGGCCTTCCTTGTAATTTGGTCTCTCAGCTTGATAGGGCCTGGTAGCCTAACATTTGCTCTTACTAAAACTACAGACCCCCATAATACCACCTACTTCTTCTATTGAATCCCCTGACCTGGATTCAATAACTGTCAGCTCAGCTATGTGGTCCTCTTTTCCCCACTATGACAGATGTCAAGGCACACTCATTTCACAGTACAGTTGCCTGCCAAGTTCTCCCTGAGAGGTGGCAATTATGAACTCCATTGTCATAAAAAAATAAATAAATAAAGGACTTATATCCCAGACAGAAGTCACCTCTCTAGAGTCTGCATGGCTAGTACAGCAGAAGCTCCTCTGACTCAGGGCCCCCCTATACCTTACCCAAGGGCAAAAGTATCTTATATCTCCTCGCCTGGATTTCACCTTTCCTCATCACCCCTTCTCCTTCAGGGGCCATTACTATATATGAAGATACTTGAGTAATAAAATACCAGAAATCACAAAAGGTAAGATGCCAACTATTATTTAGCAATGTTCTGAAACTACTAGCAGTTAAATTAATCAAGAGTAAGAAGAGTCATAATTATTAAAAAGAGGCAAAAATTATTTGCAAAATAAACTAAAAACTTATTTAAGACTCAAGATTAAGCAGTAAGGGGCTGGTGAGATGGCTCAGTGGTTTAAAGCCCCTACTTAGAACAAGCTAAGCAAAGCACAGGGATCCCAGTTGAATCCCCCAGCACCCCATGCCACCCAGCCCCACCCCCAGGTGGGCTGAGCTGGCCACACACACACACACACACACACACACATAAGTAAATAAAATTAAAAAAAAAAAGAATAAGTAGTAAGACTGGTAGCAACAACAGAAGAAAACATTTGCTTCTTTCTAAACAAGCAGTAATTAGAAACACAATAGAAGAAAAATTTAACGTATGATTAAACTAAAAATTAAATACTTAGGAAAAAACTTAAGAATTATGCAAGAATTCTAAGGAAATAATTTCAGAAATCCACTTAGCTGCACAGAGGACAAATAGAGACAGTGCTTTAAAATACCATTCTTTCTATAATGATCTACATATTCAACTTGCCCCAATTAAGATAATATAATGTCTTCTAACTTCCCAAAATTATGGCAAAGTTCTGCAAGAATTAAAAGGTAAGACCAGATCAGGAAAATTCAGAATATGAAGTCATAAATTAATTTATTTATTCTCTATAAATCTACAATGTGAAATATAACATGGAAGTTATACAGAAATAGATGACAATGAAGCAGACTAAGCAGCCCAGAGCAACGTGTGGGTTGAATCTCACTCTGCTAGCTGAACACAGAACAACTGTTTTACCTCTGGGCTGAGTCTCTTCGTCTGCAAAATAACAATCATAATCTGACTCTTAGTTGTTGGGAGGATGAAATGAAGTAATATACACGAAGTGGTTGGAAGAACTCCTGGCAATACCAGGCTGCAATGACCATGACCATCGCTGTGATTCTTGCACTCATATTTGGGATTTCTAAGGCTAATACATGAAGTTAATATAATCATGGACTCATGAACACTGCAAAAGAATTTATTTATGGAATTGAACAAGCTAGTTGTAGAAAAAGCTACAAGAAAAAAATCATAAAAATACCATAATCATGAAAAATGAATTAAAAAGTATATGAAAAATGTTCAACATCTCTAACCATCAGAGAAAAGCAAATTAAAGCTAACCTGAGGCTCCATCAAGAATACAAAAATCAATAAATGCAGGTGAGGATGCAGGAAAAAGGAATCCTACATTGCTGGTGGGAATATAAACTAGTGCAACTGCTATGGAAACCAGTATGGAGATTCCTCAAAAGACTAAACATAGAAATACTATTTGACCCAGTTATGCCATTCTTGGGCATATTCCCAAAGAAGTAAGGATGCTATAATAATAATATAGCATACTATAATGATCCATGTATTTTTATGTTTACAGCCATGCAATTCACAATAGCTAAGCTGTAGAAACAACTCTGATGCCCATCAGTAGATGAATAAAGATAATATGGTATGTATATACAATACAGCATTATTCAATCATAAAGAAAAGTGAAATCACATCATTTTCAGGGGAATGGATGGAACTAGAAACAATCACATTAAGTAAAATTAACTCAACTCAAAAAATTAAATACCGGAGCCGGGGAGATGGCTCAGTGGAATAAGCACTTCTCTGGCAAGCACAAGGGCCTGAGTTCAATCCCCAGTTCCGCAAAAAAAAAAAAAACTGGTTTGGGACTGAGGAGATGGCTCAGTGGAATAAGCACTTCTCTGGCAAGCACAAGGGCGTGAGTTCAATCCCCGGTTCCACAAAAAAAAAGGAAAAAAAAAAAGAAAGAAATACCGCATAACTTCTCTTCTATGAAAACCTAAAATTACATAAATATATACATACATACATACACTAGAGAAAACAGAATACCAGGAGGTAAATGTCCAGAAATGAGGAAGGGGATATTTGCAAGGCAAGAGGAAAAAGTGATACAATAGAACTGAAATTGATGAAGATATGTTTTGTTTATTAGTACTGGGTACATTTATATCCCCAGCCATCTTTTATTTTTTATTTTAAGTTGCTCAGACTCAGCTCAAACTTGTGGCTGTCCTGCCTCATCCTCCCAGAGTGCTGGGGTTACAGGAGTGAACCACCATGTCTGGATAAAATATGTTAAATATAACAACTTCCCAAAGTAAACCCAATCATCATGTAATATTAACATACAATAATGAAATTTTTAAAGTAAATGTACATAAGAAGATATATAAATGTGTGTATATATGTGTGTATGTATAGTCAAATTGTATTATGGATGTGTTTACATGTATCTAAATAAATGTACATAAATACATATGTTTCCAAAAAATTATGCTAAAATTATACACAACAGAATAATAATTAAACTGTGACATCAGGGCCAGCAAGATAGCTCAGCATACTAAGCACCTACTTAGGCAACTGCAGAGACCAGGGTTCGATCCCAGGCACCACATGCCGCACCATCCCCAGCCACCAGGATGGATGCGCTGAGCCAGCCACCAGGATGGATGCACTGTGCCAGCCACCAGGACCTGGTGTGGTGGCACACACCTGTAATCCTAGTGCTGGGGAGGCTGAAAACAGGAGGACCACTACAAGTCCAAACTGGGTAGTGAGACCCTGTACCAAATACATTTTAAAAAAGTATAAACTGTGATATCAAATAAAGAAATACTATTATTGTCTGGCTATTACAAACAATAGGGATGTGTACTGGGATTTGGAGACAAACAGTGACAAAGAAATGATCTTTTCTTTTTGTTCTACTAAATTTTCCATAATGGCAATGAGATCCTTTCAAACAGGGAATTTTTTTTTTTTTTTTTTTTTTTTTTGCGGAACCAGGGATTGAACTCAGGCTCTTGCGCTTGCCAGGGAAGCACTTATTCCACTGAGCCATCTCCCTGGCCCCTTCAAACAGGGAATATTTTTTGAAAAAAAAAGAAATGATGGGCATAAAATGCTAAACAACAACAAGGCCTCAATGCACTGAGGACACACAATAAAAGTCAATGACAAGCTTCCACTTTACACTTCCTCACTTACCGATGCCACTGTCATCCAGCCGCATGTAGCCCTCTGCCAATGAGCTGAAACCAGTTAACCCTCCCATGGCTGCATAAGGAACATCCTGTCCCACTGGTTTTCCCTGGGCTGATCTTTCCTGCTTTGTTTCCACCACTGTATCATGAGCATATGCCGGCTGACCACAAGCACAAGTGAAGCAGCTATGGAATCCTGAACACTTGGAACCTGAACCAAAATGTAAAGGAAGTTAAGTTTTTTTAAGTATAGGCACCAAACAAAGTATGTATCAAACAAAGAAAATAGTATTTGACTATTACAAACAATGGATATAAAGGCTGGGATTTGAGTACAAAAATTCAAGTAGGAATGATCTTTTCCCCTGTGTTTTCAGAATTGCCCTTAATGATAAACTGTATAGTGGCAATAAATGCAACCCTAAAGACACTTAGTTTGGCCAAAGCCAGCTGAGTCTAGAACTTCTGACCCTGTATCTCATACCTTTAGCTCCTGACCTCCCTCTGAAACACTGCTCTTAATTTTAAAATGTGGTAAAATAGTAAGGAGGTATGTAGAAGGAGAAAAAAAATGTTTCTGAAAAACCATGAGAGGCTGCAAGAAGCTGGGATAGCCAGGCATGGTGGTGCATGCCAATAATCCCAGCACTTGGGAGGCTGAGGCAAGAGGATTGCCACAGGACAGCCTGAACTGAAGACTCTGTCTCAAAAAAAAAAAAGAAAAAGAAAAGAATACATTTCAGTGTCAGGAAATACAAGCTCTGTCCTCAAACACTGAGTTAAAAGTAGGTATGAAGGGCCAGCCCAGTGGCCAGAACAGGTAGAGAACATGGAAATCTCCCTGAAGAGATATTCCTCACAAAACCATATTAGAAGACCAACATATAGACTCAGAAAAGATAAAAAGTAAAGTACTGATGTATGCTACAGCATGTATGAATCATAAACACACTATGCTCAGTGAAAGGAACCAGTCACAGAAAAAAACCCCACATACTCTATGATTCATTTACATGAAATACCGAGAATAGGCCAAAGAATGGGCAGAAATAAGATTAGCTGGGCACACCTGTACTTCCAGCACTCAGGAGGCTGAAGCAGGAGGATCACTGTGGGCTCAAGGCCAGGCCTGGGCTACATAGTGAATTCAAGGGCAGCCTGCGTTACATATACCAAGATCCCATCTCAAAAAACCAAAGAAAAGAATGAAAGAAACAAAGGAAAGAGAAGAGAAAGGAAAAAACAGATTAGTGGTTGCTAAGGGCTAGAAGGAGGGAAGAATAAGAAAACTTCAGAGCTTGGAATGGAGGTCAGTGATAGAACACTTTGCCCAACTTGTTCAAGTCTTTGGGTTCAATCTGTGAAGGACAAACAGAAAAATAAAATAACTTCTAATGAACATGGAATTTATTTTTTAGGTGATAAAAGCATGTTAAAATTTATTGTTATTGTTTGTACAACATCCACAGATTAACATATATTAAACCATTTCTTTTTTGTTTCCATTTTCTTTTTTAAACTCATTAACTTTACTGCAAATCAATAATAATTACATAGCAAATTAAAAATTGTAGATAATTTTTTTTTTTGGTGGAACCAGGGATTGAACTCAGGCCCTTGCACTTAGCAGGCAAGTGCTTATTCTCCTGAGCTATCCCGCCAGCCCAACAAATATTGAAATGCAAAAGATAAATTTTAGAGAAATATTTCTGAAATGAATACATAACATGAGATTAATAATAGATTTTACATTGTAAAAAATTATTTACAAAGTTAAATGAATATAACAATAAAAATTGCCTAAAAGTGAAGAA